AAAAAAAAAAAAAAAAACCATCTGGGTTTTTAGCTTTGTTTCCCGTAGCTCAATTTTTAAACTGAATTAATAGCAAAAGACTTCCTCAGGAAGACAGTATTTCTCACAGATGCAGCAATGTCTGGTTCTGAAGACAGATTAGAACTTCAAGGTCCTAAAAATCTCTGATACTAGGGGAAGGCCAGATATTCAATGTCTGTGTTTGAAATATTGTAGAGTAAGAAGTATGTCAAAAGTCCCTGGTGCTACTGCTGAAAACCAATGCATAAGGGAAGACAAGGTCCAACGGTCACAAACTGGAGGAAGACCGTTTTAGACTGGACATAAGGAAAAACTTCTTTACCACCTGAGTCTCCAGAGTCTGGAATAAACTCGCCCAGAAGTGGTGCAAGCACCTACTCTGGATACTGTCAAGAAGCGTTTGGATGATTATCTTGCTGGAGTGATCTGACCCCAGCTGATTTCCTGCCCTCTGGGCAGGGGGCTGGACCTGACGATCAAACAAGGTCCCTTCCACCCCTAATGTCTATGAAACAAGCTTCAGCAGGAGTAATTGTTTTAAAATGGTATTTAACCTAATCCATTTCTTCATTTTATGCCCAAAAGTTTGTCTGACATGTCTCCCAACTCTAAAATGGGTCCAATAAAAGATATTAGCAAACTAATTTTGCTTCTCATATAGTGCTAGCATTACATTCTAACAGAACAAAGTTCCTTACTGTTGGGTCCCCTTTTGTATGGTCCCGGTTTCTTTTAAAATTGCATTCAGTGTCAAACTCTAATTATTTGGTGGGAGATGGGGGGTCTGAGTGACCATGCTTTTCATTTGGTTGGGCTAATCACAGCTGCTACTAGTAACAAGAGATCAACACAAAATTAACCTACTCGTATATTTATAGATTCATACAAGTAAGGTCGGAGGGGACCTGAGCAGATCATCTAGTCTGACCCCCTGCTCTTATGACCCCTACTAAGTTTAAGCAAAAATGGCCCCAGCTAGGTAGTTATCCAATATTTCAGCTTCCAACAGTACTTTCTTCTGCAGCATGCATCCTTCCGAGTTGTAGACTGGTATTGCATCTCGTGTTAACATCTTGGGTAACCTATTCATATTTGGGTCTGTTTATCTTTCCTTTTAAGTTAACCCCTCCAGTTCCATAATTGTTTTCTGCAATGCTGAATTCTCTCCAACTTGTCGATCTTTCTGGTAATCCTAATAATCGTTCTCTTGAATTCGATTAACTAAAAGTAGTTCTAGTAATTGGCATAGGAAGAACATCTTTGCCATTTTAATGTGTTCAGTTTAATCTTTCAGGAAATAGCTTTGTATATTTAGGTTATAGATTTCATACACGACGAGTCAGTAGGGGTTTTACATATCAGTGTGAACTGTGAGCGTCCTCTCATTGTAAGCTGCTCCAGGGCAAGTTTCTGCAAAGGCACTATGGGCACGTGTACACATACTAACTTTCTGGCAGTTAAGCTGGCTTAATTTTAAGTTGATGTAACTGTCAGGCCATGCAAATGTACGTGGAACAGGGTTAACTTAAATGCAGTGCAAGATAATACATTTCCAAGGTGCATTATCTTGCGTTGCATTAGGTAAGTTGATTTAGCTCATGAGATGGCTGCGACCATATCATACCTGTGTACACTCCAACACGGCTTAAATTAAGTCAACGTAGTTAAGTTGACTTAGTTAAATCACCTTTGACTTAGTATGTGTGTCTGCACCCTATGATATCAACCTTCCTTTTTGGCTTTCAGGTTAATGTTAAATAAAAGCTACACAGTGACTCCTTGGCCTCCTTTTCTCTCTCATTATTTTCCATTCCCCCCACTCCCTGTCCCCTCCGCTCTGTGAAGATCCAGCTGTGTCCCACTTCCTTTTTTTTAATTTGTCAAAGCAAAACTTCTTAGGCAAGCCATAATCTTGACACTGATTCACAGATATGTACTCCTGACTTGGCAGAACTACTCGGGCCTTTCACAGGAGTCTACTGGGAGACCAACTCTTTTAGTAACTCAGGTGGTTTGCTCTGAACAACTGTGTCCTCCAGGTATGGTGGCTGCTGGTGGGGTGTTTGCTCCTTCCCAGTACTTGAAGCTGAAACGGTTAGGATGGTGTCTGGCCTGCAAGTCTAATGCATCTCTTTAGACTCTGCATTAAACATGTAGTCTTCAGTGCTTGATCTGAGACCTGTCAAGGTGGAATGCAGCTAGGATTTACTGTTCTTGCAAAGTGTGTGCCTCCCAACAAGGAAGTAAAAATAAGCGTGCATTTGCAAAACGTGGCGTTTTGATGAGCCTTTTTCCTATTTTGAGGGGCTTTTCACAAGAGCCGGAGGAAGAAAGTCTCTTGATTTGGAGAGCGTGCTGTTGTGCATCAAATTTTCACGAGGGGCTTCAGCTGAAAGTGTGACCAGGGCTCCAGCTGCGTAGAACTACAGAGGAGTATTCAGAGAGCCAGCACACCAACTTGTTATTACTTGTTAATAGAGCCAACTAAATGTAGGAAATAACTGGTGAAAAAATATGGAACGTGCTCATATTTCTCACCATTGCCCTGTAAGAAACAGTTTGTGTTTTATTGGGTCATTCACCCAATAGACAGGAATAGATTTTGCCTTAAAAGCAGGAAGTCCTGCGCCTAACGTGATTAATTGACTTTGAGAGAGGGATAGATATATATCGGGGAGTTAGGTACAGAAAGGAGGAACAATAAATACACACAGGAGGTAAATACTCCCTGTGTTTTTACAGGGCTGCCTTTAGTCACATATATGCAAAGGGAGAAGAAAGAAAACTGCCTGGATTTGTGCAAATCTGGCCTAGTTTGGGCTGCCTCTCTGTTAAATAGCTGGACAAAATCTGTCCCAGTTTACAGCAGTACACAGTGTTTTAAAGGTATTTCTTCAGGTAACTGATAGCTACTGCAGGGTAAAGTTTAGAGCCGTCTCCACCAGCAGGGACCTTTCCCCGGCTCACAAAAGAAGTGGCTGCTGCATTAAGACAAAACGCCACAAGGGTAAAGGAGAAATGTTTGCACAGGAATTCCAGTCCTCGGTTTCATAACTCCAGCCTTCTTACATAAAAGTCGGCAGGATTGTTGCAGAAGCCAGAAACAGAAAGGACATGCTGGGCTTCCTGGAGCCCATCCGTGTAAGGGGAGCTATGGATCTCTTGCAGGGGGGTGGGTCATGTTAGCATCCTTTTTTGTTCAGCTCTTGTCTGACTGCTGCTAACTATTGCTGTGGTTAGTGCCTTACTGGGGAGACTGTTTCAAAGACTTCTTTAAGGGAAGCGGTAGCTTTTTAACCCAGTGGATATGGTGCGTTGGCAGTGACTGTTGGTGGGTGGCAATGGTAGGAGACAGATCACTTCTAAGCGTTTAATGGAACATCCTCTTTTGGATCCGATTTTTATATCGGTCGTTGCTCTGTTTTGTTTTGAATAGGTATTTCTCCGTTCACGAGATGGAGCCCTCGCCGTTTAAAAGAAGACAATGGACTTCACAGTCGCTAAGGATCACTGCCAAAGAGCTTTCTCTAGTCAACAAGAACAAGTCATCAGCTCTCGTGGAGAGGTTCTCCAAGTAAGTGCGGAGCAGCTTCTGGCCAAAAAAAGCATGCGTAGCCTGGCAGCCGATGGCTCTTATTGTGCACCTGTTCCATATGCTTTTCCTTAAATTCAATTAAAACCTCTTCGCTGTGCATTAGCATACTTCTCAATTGTACCTCAGGCATTGTTTAGGTTTGGCAATTGCTTTTTTTTCCCCCAGAAAAAGAACTAGCAGCCTATTTCTGGTTGCCCTCATTAGTGTTACCAGCTGTGTCTGCTGAGAACAGAAGGGACCACTTTATCTGCCGACTCACAGTATTGTGCCCCTGGCAATGGGGCACAGCAGCTGTCACCCACCCATATAGTTTTTTGGATCAGGAACAGATCTTTACAGATTGGCATGGGATGCATTGGGCAGGTCTGACCTGCCAGTTCCTGTATACCAGCGTGGGCAACACTCTTCTCTTTGGATCAAAACTGTAATTAAAAGCCCAAGTGCAGACAGCTGCCGGTGATGGATTTTCTTGGTAAGAAACTTAAAGGGTTATCACGAAAAGATTGTCTAGGGAAATGTAGAGTGATTTAACATAGGCTCCCCACAACCCCACAGGGCTCTAATCTCTTTAAACCATGTGTGTTAGGGGAATGCTCTTGCTCTAGGGAAGCAAGGGAAGGGGAGATGGACTATAGATTCTTAATTTTCCTTTCAAGTTACCCTCTTGCCTAGTAGCCAAGACTTCAAGCTCACTCCTTTAGGCAGCAAAGAGAGATGCTTGCCAACAAAGACATTCAAACTTCTATTTCAGAAATAGATGCCCTTTATTCACTGCTAATGTTGGAGCGGGGTTGTCCAAGAAAAGTGGCAATAAATGAAGTGGAAGAGATAAAATTATCTTCTGCAAATAAGCGCTACATTTGGAAATAGAGTGGGATTGTTATTCCCTTCCCTTGTCTAATCTGCTGTTGGTAATTTTGGTCTAATTTGACCTTTCTACTGGTACTACCTTAATTCTGGTGAAATTGCGTCCTTATGCACAGGGCTGAATCTTGCCCACGTTTCTACAGACTGATTTATATTCTTCTTCCTTTTTAAAAAAAAACCCCAAACCAACAGTCCACACAGTTCAACCCAGCTTTGGATATCTTAGAACTCCTGCATAGAAAAATATTTCTGTGATGCTCTGCATTGCAACTGAAGCTAGCTTTGTGGACGTGTACAGCAGGAGTTACCCTGCACACTCATTTCATTTTAGCAACAGCGAGAGAGCAACCTTTGGGTACCGCAGTGTAAGCCAGTGGGGCGACTATCCTGCCAGAGCATCAAATAAAGCTCTCCAAAGCATCAGCATTACAATTAGGGCTTTTCTTCTCAAAACTGAGCAAGCCATCATAAGCAACTCAACCACAGCTGATCCTTTTAGGAGAAGCTAACTTCCTCCAAGGATCAGGCTCTCAGCTGAGCTGCTTGTTGGCCTTGTTTTTTTTAGCTCTGAAACAGGTGACCTGTGGGCTGCTGCGCAGTCTCTGGCATCAGAGCTATTGCCTGGGATGCACACCGTTAGTCGCCACTGGTGGAGCTAAGCCCACTTGCTTAAGGGGCCACCCTTGGCTGCAATGCAAAGGTGGTAATCAGCTTTGTCATCTTTTTTCTGGATTCCCAATCCAAAACATCTACTGATAATAATCTGCCTCCAGTAAGAGGCAGACACAGGGGTGGGCAAAATGCAGCCCATCAGGCCATTCTATCTGGCCTGCGGGGCCCCTAAAAAATTTAGACAATTAATATTTATCTGCCCCGGCTGCCTGTCATGCGGCCCTTGATGGCTTGCCAAAACTCAGTAAGCAGCCCTCCACCCAAAATAATTGCCTGCCCTTGGTAGAGCAATACTAGAACATCTTCCCCACCCTCCTCCCCATTTGGTCAGTGTCCTCATTCCTGTGCCTTACTGTGCTACTGTAGGGGAGCCATTGTGGGAGCACAAACTTGGGAAGTTTGTAATGCTGTATGGCTGAGATTGCCTAATATCTTTTATAATGCAGTTAAGTAAATGGCAGGAATTTGGCTGGCTGGCTTCCACTGCTCCGAATGGAAGCTGTGACGAGCACAGCTTGTAAAGTGGTGGTAGGTGAGACCAGAACCTCTTTGCTGCTCAGGCTAATAAGGAAGGCTGGCTTCTGTATAGGAACCACCTATGCATAAGATATACAAATGGACTGCTACCAGAGCTGGAAATAGATAGTCTGTTATCTGCAGGCTGGAAGCTTGATTTGCTTCCTGTAGCGGGCTGGGGCACTCGACGTGCATTAGGCATAGGAAGAGACTATAGCAGTTTTAGTTTGTGATGTCCCTTCAAGTTTGCTAGTGTTTCACTGATCAGATATAACTCAAGGGTTTTATTTTTGAAGCCAACTTTATCAGCAAATAGGGTTGTAGTTTCATCAAAAAATTTAAAAAACCCCCTTCAAACGATAGGATGGTTTAGAATCCGAGGAAGAACATAAAGCATCTGTTTAGTGATCACTTAAGCATCTCTCATTCAAAGGTGGGTCTAATTGGCATTTCATTCCCTTAATGATACGAAGGCATGTGACTGCTGGACCGTGCAGTGAGAAACTGAGGCAAAACACTCACTCGTCCAAATCAAAACCAGGCTAACAGATTCCCCCTTCTTCTGAAGCACAAGTCTTAAAGTCTTAAGTACAGTAACTTTCTGACATTTGTGATTCCTTTTAAAAGAAAACACAAATAAAGCGTGCTTTCTGCAGCCAAAGACCACTATTCCCAATGAGCTCTTTTCAGGTTTAGGTTTACTATAGTAAAGTATGGGACATCTGTCAGACTTTTTTTCTTTCTTTTGAATGGCTTCATTAATTAATGGCTTTTAAATCTCGTATAATTCAGTTACATTGTTTAAAAGAAAGCTTCCTTGTGATATTTTGCATTGCTTATATACTTTCTGACTTCTAATGCTTCCCACAATGCACAACCAGCCCTTTATCTGCAAGTGTTAAGACTTACATTTTTGTTTTGTCTGTTGGGGCTGAAAAGTATGTAGTGTCCTTGCTTCAGGGTAAATGCGCTCCTGGGATTCTGACTTCTAGATAAGTGGTGTGTGTTTTGTTTTTTTTCCTTCCCCCAAAAGGTACCAGAAGGCAGCTGAAGAAGCTACCACAGAAAAAAAAAGAAATGTAAGTATTTACAGGCTGTATAAAGTGAACAGCAGCATATGGCCCACCATGCTTACCTCTCCTGTATCTGATGCATTTGAGAGTAACTGAACTATTCATGTGCTTTGTTTTGCACTCTCTTTCCAGGAGAATGTGGCTTTTCTGCCTTTCACTAAAGTCCTCCTTTTGGCTTATCCCTGTTCTGCCTCCTCAGGGTTGACCGAAGCCCAAGGAAGTCAAGTGACTTGTCAAGTGACTTCTACCACCAAATGCTAATGCCTACTCTTGGCTTGAGGCTGCTGTGCTGTCTCTACTCATTTCCTCATTTGTAAAGTAAACTTTTAAACTTAAGAGGAAGCTATCTGATTCCAGGAACGTTAATCAATGCTATCCCCTCTTCTAACTGCAGAGTGCATTAGGGGGATCCTTTTTGGAAACAAGTCTACAAGATTTCAAATGTCTCCCATTAAGGGCGAGTCATTATTTGTCACCTTGTGTAAGACTTCTGCTCTGCTCCATTCCCCCCTGCCCCACACGCCTGCTGTGGGGCTGGGGGACTCTGCAGGAGAATTCACCAAAATTGCAAGTCTGTTTCTGAACAGAACCTCTGATAATCCGGGCTATTTAAAATAAGGCTATTTAAAATCCTGTCCGTTTAAAAAAATCCTTGATGCCTGGAAGGCATGGACAAGCCCCTCTCCAAATGTGCTGCCTCCATTTCTTTGAGCTTGGGATGCTAAAGCATCGCTTGGTGTCTGTTTTGGGGGCAGTGCTGTGATATATTGGTGTTGGGGCTCTGAGAACTACCGTTCGGTTAGCAGTTCTAACAACCTTTTCTTGGAAGTAGTTTCAAACTGCAGCCTTCAAATTTTAAACTTCAGTGGTTCACATTGCATCCAGCTCTGGAGTTGTGGTTGCAGTCTCCCTCTTCGTGTGTTTTATATCATGGAGACATCCTCACAAGCATGACATTGGTTTGATATAGCACCTTTAACTCAGGATCTTTGGAGCACAGGAGAAATTGCAGATGCAAACTCACTTGTTCCTTTCCAGTGCCCTGATCAGCATTTCATTCAGCATGTTCTGTCCTGCTTCTGATCGCCTAACAGATAATTAAGGCTAGCAGAACAAACAGCCTGCTGGGGAAAGGTCCCACCTCCATCATCCAGGTGGGTTTGGAGAATTGATCCGTTAGCATGGCTGCTATCAACTGTGGCCAATTTAATAAGCTCTGCCAGTCTTTGAGCCACAGAGGACATAGAAAGGTGGGAGTTGAGAGAGGAAGGAGTGAGGTTGTTCTGTTGTCAGTCCTCCATTAGTATGGATTGTCTTGTGGGTCAGTCATTCTTAGTTAAAATGGTGTTTAAAGAAACTTATTCTTTAAATAGTAGACCTCTGACTCAGTGGAGATAATAGGGGAAAAATGCCAGCTCCCTACTCAGCTCTTACGTCAGTGAAAGGGGCAGGGCAAAGCAGTGACTAAGCACAGATGTCTGTGCCACAGCGCTGCATTTAGCAGCACACCTGGTGTCCAAGTCTGCAAGACCTTCAGCATCTAATTCTCTCTGTTCTGCATAGTAGTTCTCTGCCACTTTGGCTGGATTTTTTTCCATTTGCCTTACCCCTTCAGTGCTTTTAAATGCATCAAACTAACTGATCTTCTCCAAGCTTAGGTGCATGCTAGCTAATTTGCCCAGCAGCATTCAAAATGTGACCAGGAGAGTAATAGGGTGAGGGACTTAAAGCCCAATATAGCTGCTAATCCTCTTTAATTCCCATCGGCTTTACAGACCTGTTCTGCTTGCCGTTTGTTCCAGGCATGGTAGGATCCCTGTGGAATGACTAGAAAAAAATGCAGCATTGGCAGGTATTAGATTGTAAGTGGCTGAATGCAAGGTGGTCTGGTGTCTGGATGTGGGGTAACCAGTGCTAAGCCGAAATAGGTTTAAAAACCTTTGAATCTGGGGACAGCACTGCTGTAGGTGCCTAGTGCGTTGGGATGCTGCAGGGCTAGGGGAACACCTCTCGAGGTGTGAGGATGTGCCATCTGGTAACTGCAACCTATTGTCTCAAATGGATGGGTTAGTTTCAGTATGGCTCAAATTGATAAGATGTGTGTAACCGCTGTCTAACCTGACACCTTACATAGGGTGGTCTAATAAAGAACTAGACGGTGTTTGGGGGTTTTGTTATTAAAATGAATACAGTTGGTATTAAAGTGCTACCAGTAACTTATAGCAGAACAAAGTTCAAAGCAGCAGTGGCTTTGGAAAGCAACTTGAGTTCTTGGGACAACCTGCGAATTGTTCTCCCGCTTGCATTGCGGAGCGGCTGGGAGTCATCACCACGCTCGGCATAGCCTGCCTGCTTCTCCCCCTTGTCAGGATAGGTCTGCAGCTTGTTAAATTGTGGATTTGGTTTCCTTTTGCTGGAAACAAAGAAACAAGTAGAGCAAACATGTCGATTCAAGCCTTTGTGTCTCATTTAATTCTCATTAGACTTGGACTCCCTTTTTTTTCCTTATAAGGCCGCCCTGTTTTATCACTTCCTGCTTCAGCTCCTAACTTTTTTCTGTCTTCTCCCCCACTCCTTCCTCCCCTATCCTGGATGCTTTCTCCATGTGGCACAGTTGTAACTATTCACAGCTGTCTGAAAAGCAGCAAGCTCAGCTCAGCATCGCGCCTTTAGCTTCCTTTCGTATAGAGAGGAAGTGCCGTAATGCTTCATCGGGCCATTTATAACTGGCACTAACTTCTTGTTCTTTTTAGACCACAGACAGTCTTCCCCTTCATTTTAAAAGGGGGAGCCTGAGCGTGTTAAAGAAGAAGTGGGAGAATCCAGTGTTGGGAGCCGAGTCTCGGAAGGAAGCTCTGCGAAGCAGCTGTGCTGAGGGTAGGCAGAAGGTCGCCAGCCCCAGTGTCGGAGCCGAAAGCCGCCCGGCTTCTCTAGCAGAAGCTGATCACGTCTCAGGGGTCAGTGCTAGATCTCAACTCCAGTCCCCTTCTGGAGCCTTTGGCCAGGCGCGGTGTCCCGGTGTTGATAGCGAAGATCTTAAAAGCCACTCGCCGGAGAGTGATAACATGGAAAATTGTCTAAGAGAATCCAGACAAGAAGTAGGAAAGCCCGAGGCCAGTGAAAACCCAGACTCTTCAGGGAAGATAGAGAAATATAGCGTCCCGCTAAACAAGCTAAAGATGATGTTTGAGAAAGGGGACGCAACTCAGATCAAGGTAAGGATCAACTATTATAGGGGCTGAAAGTAAGCTGTCTCCTGGGCATTGGGCAAACTCTTTGCATGGGTTGGCTTAGGGATATTCATGGTACAGAGGGCAATTCTGGTTTGCAATTAGAGTGTAAAAGTATCTCCGTGGCTCGCGTTAGTGATGTGTGTTTGAGCTGGGTGGGTATGCACTGTAATGTGCTCAAAGCTTCAGGGATGTCACGAATGCTCTCTGACAGCTCCACAATAGCAGGAAGCTGGATTTTGCATTTTTCTTAACAAAACATTGACAACCAAACAAAAACCATAAGAAGAGAAACTAATTTGGACTGGATAGATGGCACCAACCCAAACAAGAGCCATTGTGACAAATGCAGAATGTGTTGGTTTTTAAATGTTTTTTTTTCCCTCTCTACTTTGAGGTGGGACTGATTGCATCTTCAGCTATCTAAGGTCGCTGAGACTGTGAGTCACTTTAAACATGAATTGTAAATAGGTTGCAACCCAAATGAAGCTAGCTAATGGAGATAAAACGAAGGGCTACTTGTAGGGAGCTGCTGTGTAGCAGGGTCTCCTCCTTGCTGTTCTTTCAGCTATGCATCCTAACAAATGTTTCTTATCAGCAAAAATCCTCTTGCAGGAAAAAGAAGTGAAGATAGCTAGGCAGCTCCTGCTTTACTAGTTTTGACTTGCAAATGCACAGGGCTTGCATTTTCCTACAACTGCTCATGAAATCTGATCCTGCATGTGCACTGCAGACTGTGTCTCCCAAGGGAGAATTGCTTAACTAGAAAATGAGTTGCATATGCCAGTGACTTTACAATGCAGTCTTGGATGCTGGTGGATTTTCCAGTTTTGTCATAGTTTCCTATATTTCTGGCTTTGTCTTATGTGGGGTGGTTTTATTACAACATTCAGTAAAACAAAGCAAGAGAGACAGAGAGAGAAATCTTGGATGCTGAAACTATTTGCATACAATAAATGGAGGCTTGTGTTCAACTTTTAAAATTAAGGCCTGCATGTTGACACTCAGAATACTTTGTACAGGAACAGCTTTGCATGTGAGCTTGTTGCCTGCCTTATTCCTTTATTAATGTAATTGTTACTTTCAAAAAGAGTTACATTATTAAAGAAGATCTTACTGGGTTGTCGCCAGCCCAAGGGTGCTCATTTTTAAAAGATGTAGCAGGGCACGACTTTGGGAATCTTTCCCCAGGAATCCTGGGAAGCTGCACTCATGGGACTGAACCACTCAGACATCCACAGGAAAGTTTGCAGGCACCATCTGAATAGGGTGGAGGAAGCTTTGAGCCCACTGAACTCCTTCTCTAACTGGAATTTATACCCATATGTGAGATTAGTCATCGTTTGCTGGAACAGTGTTTGCAAAGTGCTTCCTACAGCAGCTGCCTCGCCATCGTTTTGGAAGTCAGGAAAGCTAACCTGAGGAGGATTCAAGTTGTGTTGCACCCAGCTCATTTTGCAGATGCTTTCTCTATCTTTAATCTAACAAGAAACAGTTTGAGGGTTTTTTTTTTTTTTTAAATTGGGGGTGTGTGGGGGAAGTGATTTTTAGTTGCAAAAAAAAAAAAAAAAAGAGGCCTATTGTAAGCTTCCCGGCCCAGGAATTTGTTGGAATTGCAGGGTGACGTCACACAGTGGCAGACAATGCAGGCAGTCAGGCAGCCACGGGGACGTAGTAAAACTGAGCGAAGGTAGGAAACTACTAGAGCAGCAGCAAGTCTGGCTAGTTCTGTAGTGCATGGTGCTCAGTTAGCTGTTTCATTCACCGTTCTCCTAAAAGGGTGGGCAAAATGCGGCCCGCGGGCCGGATGTGGCCCACCAGGCCATTCTATGCGGCCCACCAGGCCATTCTATCCGGCCTGTGGGGCCCCTAAAAAATTTAGAAAATTTAATATTAATCTGCTCTGGGCTGCCTGTCATGTGGCCCTTAATGGCTTGCCAAAAATCAGTAAGCAGCTCTCTGCCCAAAATAATTGCCTGCCCCTGAAATGCAGGCTGTTGTCAGAGTGCTGATTAGCATGCAAGCCTGCAATGGCTTTGAGACACACTTTTCCCTTGATACTTGTCCGGCACTTTTGATATAAGCGCTGTACGAGGTTTGTGTAAAAACAAAAAACCCCCCAAAAACCCAAGCCCCCCACCCCAAAAAAACGACCCACCACTGTCCACAGTGGGTCGGTTGCACCCTGTCCAGCTGAGGAGGAGGTGGCAGAGCGCTCAAGTGACTTGGCCAAGGCTACATAGGCAGCAAGTGGCAGGGTCCAGGTTAGCATGCCGGATCCCCAATTCCCTGTCTTCGGTTCGGTTCACTCAACAGTGCTCAGCAGGAACAAACCTATGCAGGCTACCAAAACTATGAATGATTGACTGGTTTAAATTTTGCCTGGCTTGCATGCTGCACAATCCCTATTTTTTTTTTTTTTTCTTTTAATTTTTTATTCAAATCTTGTTCCAGTCCCTGCATCTCATAAGCAAGACAGGTTTTTTTCTTACTGCTTCTTCAGGGAAGAAAGTGCCTCTAAGCACCTCAGTAACCAGCCCATCTGAGAACAGCGTTGTGAGACTCTGCATTTTACTACAGAATAATGATTGCCTAAATTTTAATAGCTGAATTTATTTTTTCCTCAAACTTTTTTTGGCAATTTCAAAGATGCCTCGCATAGCATGGGATCGAACAAGGTATCCTGTGGTTTTATTGGAGCAAAATTAATTGTTAGGCCAAATGCCAAGTATTGCTGACATGAGTACAGTGCTGCCCCAGGTTTCAGTCAAGAACTGGGGGCGCTTTGGAGAGGTGGCTACGTTTCCCTTTTCACAGATTTGGGCGGAGGAAGCGGGGCTGCATGTTGCTTTGGTCAGAATTGCACAGTGAATTAGTTATATGGTCACGAGATCAGGAGTTGGGAACTCAGGTCTGTTAAACCAGTTGGATCCCATTGTTCCCTGGAGGACTCCAAACTCGGTAACTCAGGTCACTTGAGGTCTTCTATCCACCAGCGTCTAAAGAAAGACAGTTCCCACACTTGAGTTTACCACTGGGTTTTTCTACTAATTCAGGATTAATATGGCTATTTGATTGTATGTCATTGTGTCGTTCTGTGCCTGTGTGGCAGAGCTAACATTTTTACCTCCCTTGTAAATAGTTGCTGAAACACCTTCCCCCCCACCCCACTTGCACCCCAAACTGCTTCTGAATTCTAGCTAACAATTTAACATTGGCATCCTGTTTGAATTCATCTTATTGAATTGGATCACTGGCTAGTAATCATGCTGGATATCCTCCTCCGCAGAAGTAGCTGATACTTGGGTCTTTTGGGTGCAGATATTCCTGTTACCCACAAATGCGTGAGAGCGAGGGGAGATGATTTGTTTGAAATTCATAGTATTCTGTTTATCTCGACTTGCACAGCCATGAGAGATTCTTGTTATCTCGACTTGCACGGCCATGAGAGTTGGCTTCCTGCTGCAGTGAATTGCAGCATGACAGTATATGGTTTAAAATGTGATTTTTCTCCAATTTCTACACTTCGCCTTGTAACTCGGTCGGTTTGCATTGTTAGTTTTGTGAATCTGAACTCTTCAAATCCCGCTAAGTCCTTTTCTAGGCTGTCGGCTCCATAGTGTCCTCTGCACTGGAGGGGCAACAATCTGGACTTGGTGTAGCTAGGAGGATGGTCAGTACACTGCTTTTACGTGGTATGGGAACACCTGGGCATGCTGTCCCAAATCTTGCATAGATGCAGCATGAAATTAATTTTACTTGTAATAGGAAAGGTCGCCAGAAGCTGTAATATTTTTGTTTTTTCTCGGCGAGTTGAGTCCACATAATCTCTCCAAATGAAGATGTGGGGGAAGGTCTGTGCAAGTGAATTCCTGACTGCTGACAGGAAGGAGAATGTGAGAGATGGGAAGGGAACTTGAGTAAGCCTCTAGCCCTGATTTGTAAGAACCTCTGTTCCTAAAAAAGGATTAGTTATTTGTCATGCAAATGAGAGAGAGAACCAAGTTTTGCAACCTCGGCGCTCCTGAGACCTCATTCTGTAATACTGAAAACTTCCCCTTGCCCTTACCTGTCCAGTTCAGCTTTCTACCTGGATTGTGTTAGGGCTTTGGTAAACTTCTCTTGCCGTTGCACTTGTATCGCTGACAGCCGCACCGCACCCAGTGTGCGGAAGTTTTGTGCTTGGTGTTAACCTTGTGGGCCATGTCAGCTACTTCTTCTCTGAGCTTTTTGATATTAAGATCAGCCAGTAGGGTAGGCACCAGTTCCTATCCGTCACACCCTCCTTGCATTGCTTGCCAAGAAGGATACTGACTGGCTCTTGGATGTTCGCTGCCTGCCGTGCTCTGCCCTATGTACTGGGATGGAAAACAACCCATCCAAAAGCTGGAGCCTTCACTTGAACTCCAAACCGCATGTTTCCAAGACCTTGCGGCATTAGAAGGGAGCAGGGGCTTGCAAGGGACATGCCAACAAACCTTGGCGACAAAAGTGAAGAGTCTGCAAGTTCCTACAAGGGCTCGGGCAACTCCCAAACAGTGTCTATCAGCACCTTTTAGCAGAGGGAGAAGGCTTGTCTTGGCCAAGTCTATTTTAATAAAAAAAAAAAAAATTAAAAAAAAGTTATCAAAGTCCTAAGTGGCAGAAATATAAAATTCCTTCCCACATTAATGGAAAACATAAAAGATTTTTTCCTTTCCTAATGAAGGTCCTCTGTCTTGTGTGCTGAAAAGCACTGGTTTTTCACAGTGATTATTTTCCAGTGCAGCTCGGTTAGAATAAAACAGTGGAATTTCCTGCAGTTTGGTGACCCGGCAAAT